AGGAAACAAAACTTCCAGAACACGGCCACACAGCCCGGAAGACCCACACCAGCCAAACCTTTACATAGTTTAGTGGAAATAACAATCAAATACAGATACAGAGATATTTGATTTACTTACATCCGTCTGAACCATCTGTGGACGCTGACTGCGAATTCTTGCCACAAACTCGAAAACATCAACTTTTTGTTCAGCATGCATCATGTCAATCATGGCATCTATTACTATGAATGTGCCTGTACGACCTACACCAGCACTTGAAAAAAACACACACATGCAACTAAGCAAACCACAGTGCAATAATGTATCTTACTCCCAATATCACTGATTTTCCTTTGTGTTCTACAATACAGCACCTACTCCCTTAAATTAGTAGTGATAGTACCAGCAACAGTCATAGTAGTACTAGCATCAGCATTTAGTTCACCGGGAGGCAAAACTCAAAACAAAAATAGTAAATCTATATAAACCCAAAGTCTCTGAAATCTAAGTTCAAACATCTAGCAGCTAGACTAGAAGCGATGCCTGAAGTCCCACTGGAGAAAGACAAAGAGTGAATGCAACCAAACACAAGTAAGAGCCCACATTTGGGCCTATATCGTGGCAATAAGGATGGCGAAACATTGTTATTTGTTTTTATTGTGCCTGCCAAAAGCTGCCCAGCAGCCCTGTTTAGAGTGACCTGCTTCCTCAGGGAGAGCTGGGCCTCAGGACCATTGCAGGGTCACAGTGAGGAGTTTCAAAGCTATTTGGGGGATAAAGCCGGTCAGAGTTAGACTCTGACTGGGCAGATCCAAGTGGGTTGCCTAGGATACAGTCTTGTGAGATTATCTGGGCTGAGTTTGATTCTATGATTCCTGAGGATGTGGAGAAGGTTCTCCAACTATCAGTTCGGCCACTTGTTTGTTAGATCCTGGCTCCTTCCTGCATTGTTAAGGCAGCCCAGGTGGTGATCAAGGGATGGGTCCATGTGGTGGCATCAGCCTCTTTGAGGGAAGGGGTGGTACCACTGGCCTTGAAAGAGACGGTAGTGCAACCCACCTCAAGAGGCTCTTGCTGTACCCCACCATTCTAGACAATTATCACCCAGCTTCCAATCTTCCCTTTTGTGGGAAAGTCATGGAAAAGGTATTCAGATGGCAGCTGCACAAGAAGTTGGAGGAAACAGATTTTCTGGACCCATTTCAGTCAGGTTTTATACAGGAGTATACCAGAGAGACAGCACCAGTTAAGCTTGTTGATGATCTTTGGCATCCATCTTTGTGTTCCTTGATCTCTCAGCAGCTTTCGATACTGTTAACCATGGTATTCTTCTTGATCAGCTGTGGCCACAGCCCCTCACTTATGGGGTACCCTAGGGATCAACATTCTCCCGTCTCCTGTTTAACATCTACATGAAACTGCTGGGTGACTTCATCCTTTGGTCTGAGGTTCAATATCATCTGTATGCTGATTACACCCAGCTGTACATCTCTACCCCAGGCTATGAGGGTGAAGCTGTCAATGTACTGACCCAGTGTCTGGAAGGGGAGGAATAGACTTTGGCTCAATCCTCACAAGACTGAGTGGCTATGGCTGTTTTGACTCCCTGGGTCAGGGATGTTTTCATTGTTGGTCTTGGATGCGGTTACACTTTCCCATTCAAGACTGGTGCGGAACTTTGAGGTCTCCTGGACTCACAGCTTCTGCTTGGAGAGCAGATGGCAGCTGCGACCAGGAATGTCTTTACACAGGTTTATCGTGTGTGCCAGCTGCATCCTTTCCTTGACCAGGAGGCCACTCAAACAATCACTCATCCCCTGGTCACCTCACAACTGGACTATTGGAATGTGCTCTACATGGGGCTGCCCTCAAAAAGCATTCAGAAGCTACAGCTGGTAGAAAATGCAGCAGCATAAGCAGTAACAAGCACTTCATGTTATGCCCATGTGTATTACATGAGCTGAATTGATTGCCAGTAGGCTCCCAGATGCAGTTCAAGGTGCTGGTCACCACCTATAAAGTCCTTCATGTCATAGGGCCTGGTTATCTGAGAGACCACATATCTCCAATTGTTTCTGCCTGCCTGGTATGTTCAGGCAGAGTGCATGTGCTCCAGATCCTTTCTATTAAATGCTGCCATCTTGTGGGACGGAGGAAGTGCGCCTGTCGCTGCCCCCTCCCTCTGGAACAGCATCCCCCCAGAGATACGAATGGCACCCACTCTCCTGAGGTTCCAGAAAGCCCCTAAAACCTGGCTCTGTTCTCATCAAATATATTGACGTACTGTATTTGTGAGACCTCTGTAATATTTGTATGGTTTACTGTTCTGGTTGTTTTAATTCAGGCTGCCTGTTTATGTGTGTGTAATCATTTTAATTGTTTTCCAGACTTTGTAAGCTGTCCAGTCTAATTACACACATAAACAATACTATGTTTAACCTCCTGAACTACCACAAGAGGGAGCACAATTATCTTAGATTGCTGTTCATATTGTCATGGCAAACAATCTTCATCCTTCTTTGAAGAGTAAAAAGCATGGCATCCTGTGCCAGGCACAGACTTTTACTATGTATTACATCAAAACAAAACAAACAAAACCTTTGCTTTTTTTTCTTATGATATCACTGCAACTTCCTCTCTCCCTCTAATTCTGCCACTGCTCATTTATTGAATGTGCAGTTTAAAGTTTATTAATGACATGATGTTTTTATTTTTGAATTTTGATACAGAAACTCAGCTTCCTTTCCATGGACTTTGTTGCATCTATACATTACTATGCAGAAGACTGTGGAATAAGTATTTAAGTATTAAAATTAGTTTACAAGAGTCTATAATTTTCAAGCATTACTTTATTTTTATATCCTATCTAAGCTCATATTCTTAGAGTTGTGTTCAACTGCATCCCCAAGGCTCTTTGATCCACCAGGTTTCTGTGAATGGAAAAGGAGGGTAGTTCCTGTTTCCTCTTTTCCATGATCTCCAACAATTGTTCCAGAGAGACAGAACATCCTTTGGATGCTATTAGCCTTTGGATGCTATTAAGCCCACACCCTGACACTGATGAGGATACACATCTCCAGCTCCATATATAGATATACATACCTACAGTGAACCATTATTGGTCCAGCATGTGCAGGATTCAATGCCTTGACTTTCTTTAGGAATTTAAGCATTCCAATGGGTGTAAAAGGCACTCCAAAATCAGGCCAGCTGGTGAAATGAAGCTGAGTGACAAGTCTCGGAGCTTTGCAGCCATCAGCAACCTGCTGAAGACCCAGAAACAAAATATGAATATAATCAATCACATTTTAGAGTGAAATCATCCAACAGTTTAGTTACTTGTTATGTACTTGACCTTTTTCTTCCTCTTCACGATATACAGTACATTAACGCATTTCCATTTAAAGAGAAGAATTAAAGTAGAATCAAAATCAATCATGCATCAAAGCATCTATAGATGAAAGGTGTGTAATAGAGATAGCTTTTTCTACAATGACACCGCAACCTAGAATGTTCTCTGGGGAAAATATGTCAGCTGTCAATATTATATTGTTATTTATGGTGAGTTTAAAAAAAAAATTGCCTGAATTTTTTGCATTTTAATATACTGCCAGAACAACCATGATGCTGAATCAGAGCAATAGCTAAGCTAGTAAGCTAAGTTCCCACAGTGGCAAACCAGATACCCACAGGAAGCCATGGGAAGGTTCAAATCAAATATCTTTATTACGGTCTTTCACCAGCCTTTGAAAAAAAAAACAATATAACAATTTGTTATTGGGGGAGGAGGAATACAATAAAACAGTAAAGCAACATAACTAATCAAAAGTTTTGTGCAATTGTATAACATAATAAAGATATTTGGCCACCTGGTATGTGACTGTCGAGTCAGTATCCCTTAAAAAAGTAACATAAAATTTATCAATATAGTCCTTAAATTTAGAGATAAATGGAGAGATCAGAGTGCGTCTTGGGGCATCATAAAAAGGACACCATAAAAGGACACGAGCAAGAGTTTCTACCTCCCTGGATCCACAAGGGCAAATTGTCTATAAATAAAGAGTCCCATGAAATCTTCCTGCCAGCAGTGCTGAAGGGAGAGCATCAAAGTGGGCTCTGGAAAAGACCCATCTATATTTGCTTAGGGTTAGATTACAGAGATACCCCAGTGAGGGTATCTATACAATCAGTAAGCAGTAGAGGGCTTGCGGCTATATAACAATTGGGAGTAGAATTCAGGAGCACTGGTGATATCATTTTGGAGATTAATGTCCCTAATTATTTCTTTTGCTATTGATTTGCCCTTTTCCAGGGTTAATTGGCCTGAATATTCTGGAGAGAGGTCAAGGCTGCAAAGTTCTTCTATACAAGTACAGTGCCAATGAGATTGGTAGCTGCCTGACAGCAGCAAAGGCATCAGGCCAGTAGGGTCAAACATGGTTCTGAGACCTGAGATTAGTTTCTCTTCAGATTGTATAAATCTTTCACCATATGAAGGTTATAAATGCAGTATGTCACACTCAATAATATTTCTATGGATAGGTCAGATTAAAGCCATTCAAGAATCTTCCCACCAAACAGTTCCAAAGAAGATAAAAGTATCTGCCCATACTTTTGAAATTTTATTGCATCTGATTCTATTCCTCTCACTTTATTGTTTATACCATTCTGTAAAATAATGATAATTATTGAAGAAGGCATCATTTATATTGGTATTTTTACTGGATTCCTTGTGATGTCAACATAATCTTAACTCTGTAGAAAGCATTAACTCAGTACAGTTGTCTACGATCAATTCTCAGTTTGTTTGGAAACTATGAACTCCCAGAAGGGACTCCAAAGAAGGAGCTAGTAGAATATAAGGATCAAAGTATGCATAGAATTTCAAATAAAATCTTGATATGGGTTCTAAAGTAGTAGTAGCAAGAAAATTTAAGTAAGAGTTAAATAAACCTTCAACAAAAACATATAATCCCAAATATTCTTTATTCTAAAACAGTGTTAGCAATAGTTCATCATATTTTAAAACAATAATAAGAGAAAATAAAATACCGGCTGAATACAAAACTTTCGAATGGTATAATCTACAAGAACTATACAGTCCTCCACAGAAACCCGGATGTTTCCATAAGTCCAGCATCCTTGATCAGGCCAATACTGGAAACATTTGTCCTATATAATGTTAAAACACAAACATATACCAAATCAACATATTGTACATTTTGCGAAAACTGACAGGTTAAAAACATACAATTGTTTTGTAACTATATGGGTTACATATAAATTCTAATTCTAAAATTGAAACCCAATAAGCTAATTCTAAAATTGAAACCCAGTAAGACCATATAGCTCTAATTATATTCAAAATAAGATTAGGGCAAGTTGTGAGGTAACATAGGACTAAAATTTATTGAGATACAACTTTATCATCTTCTGCGTCTTTGATTTTTCTATAGACCCATTACTTCAGGTTTGGGTCAGTTTTAGAAGATAAAAGATGTTAACATAGTTCTAGACGTGTCTTGTTTTAAAAATATAGCCTACATATATCCTTTTCAACCCATTTCTCTTTAAGTGCCAGGAGAGGTCATCCTTGAGCAACAAAAAGACTCATGCTTCATTTATAGACAAATCAACATTCACCAGCTACCACTACCTACTGCTACAAATGGGCTGCAGGATGTAAATTTCATATTGAGTTTCAATTTTATTCTAATAATAATAATGATGATGATGATGATGATGATGATGATGATGGTTGAAGGAAAGTTGGAGCTAAATACACTACTAACACTCTTAGGGACTATGAAATTGTAAAATTGGTCTATTGAAGAATGCCAGGAAATCAGGCAAAGCAAAATACAGTCAAATAATTTCAGTTAATTTACTCATACAACACATTCATTATTATTTTAAAGGATAAATTGTCAATCTTATATAAATATATATAGTCTCCGAGGCAGGAAAGTTTCAGAAAAGAGAGAGAGAGAGAGGATGTGTGCAGTGTGAGAAAAATTATGTAAAGTCAAGTATTTTAATTACTGCACCACTGTATCAGAGACTGACATTTTACTGACAAGCTGATATAGGAAGTGGTTATGTTACTAATAGTTTTGTGGGCTACTGGACAGGTCCAAACAGCTTGGAGGGAAATAAACTTTAAAGGTGTCTTACCTCTTTTCTCTCTTTCACATTTGTTAACATGACAATAGTTGCAGACTTCTGTTCCCATATCATCCTCCAGAAATCATTTACTGTGTCCTGCTTAGGACCTAGGTATATAGGACACAACTACTGAATTAACAGCTACACAAAACACAGAAAAATGTTTCTAATCCTATTTATTGAAAAGAATCTCAATTTCTATATGAAATGCTCAAAGCAGTTTACAATGTTTAGAAAGCCAAACAAAAAGCAACATGTATTAAAACTGCAATAAACAGGCCATCAAACAGAACTGCAGAATAATGAAACAGCCTTCACTTGGCAGCAAAGTAATATCAGTAGAGACACTGGAAAAACAAATTTGGCAAAGATGTTCCAAACATGCAGCCTATTAAAGAGGGAACCCTCTTGTTATGGACAAAGTGATCAAACAAGTTCAGAGCAGGAAAGGTAATCCTTTCTACACATATGCACATGGCCGTATGAGGGAAAAGGTGTATGTGTGTATACACACACACACACACACACACACACACACACATATGGAGATGTTACTTCATCATCCAAAAGAACACAAAGATGGCCACTGTTGTAAGAATTCCAGAAGCCATATTCTGCATGCGTTCTCTATCATCTGAAGAACTTTTAGATAGCAGTTTTGAAAGGCAAACCAGAGACGGAGCAGGGAAAAAAAGGAATTTCCTAATATGGAGGGTGGGGTATGGCAAAATGACAGAGTAGGTAATATGGCTGTACTGTTGTGTCAGACTGCTATTAAGCTGCAGAGGAGATGGAGAAAGAAGAAGCAAGCTATTGCAGTTTCTGCTGGGAGATCGGCTGCTTCTGGTGCTCTCACAGCTGTCACTTCCAACAGGTAGCACGCAAAAGAGAGAAAAAAGCAGAGTGATTCCATCAACTCTGCTGAGACCCAGGTACTTTGGGTTTTCCCCAAGTGTTTTCTCAACTGGTTAAAATAAGAACTGCAATGTTAAGAACTAGATTCAAGCTTCCCTTTTTCCACCACCCTCCCCATTCCTTTTTCTTGTGCAACATGGCTTTTAGACTGCCGGCTTGAGGGCTTGAATTATTTATTTTTATATATAAGCTACTCTCTGAGCCTTTTTGGCTAAAAAGCAGAATAAGAATGTTTTAAATAAACGAATAATAGAGGGAACCTGCAAGAAAAGCCAACATCACTACCAGCTTGTGGTGACAGCAGTACAGGTTCAGCACACATGCCACAACCAGAACTGTGATTAATGGAACAACAAGATAACTGGAAGCACAACCCAGCACAAACCTCTTTGCCACTTGGATGACCCACCCTTAGAGTAAAAGAAAAAAAAAAAAGCTCTTTCTGAGAATGTGATGTGAGAGAAAAGAGGGGAAGGTAGAAACAATTCAACTATTGTGTAAAGAATATGGGCATGTGGAAGTAGGATTCCACAATAAAAACATTTCAGTGTATCTCCAGCAAATAAACTACAGTATCCCTCTTTTTAGCCAGCCTGAAAAAGAAACATTATGCTATTATTGTTATTTTAAAACACATTCCTCCCGGAAGCCTCATGCCGAGGCTATAAAGTAAAACTATAAAACTATAAAGTAAAAAGTTGTGCAGTGGCCCTGAATCCAAAGTTTATTACTGGTAGTGAGGTGAATATATCACAAAGAAATGTTAATCTATAAAGACACATTCCCTTAATCCTTCATTCCACAGTAATATGAAGTTTAATGGGCTCAAGCAAACCAATTCCTGCTTCAGTTCCGCTCTACTCTTCTTGCACCCTAACAGGGAATTCTATACATTTATATAATTAGACAGTTACTTCCCTATCTTCACTAAAAAAATCAAGTGAAACAGAAACAGTAGAACTAAAAAGATATTGACATCTACTGTAAATATTTTTATATAATCCTCAACAGTTCATGGATCTCATCAATTCCTTATGTACATATTTTTAAATTGGAAAATTTGTATTACACACACACACATACACACAGGGTGTACCAAAAGTCAGGCTTCATAGACAATTTATTATATAAATTACATTAAATGTTCACATTTGTTGCCATTTTCTTCCAAACACGTCTTTACTCATTTGGCTTACTCAAAGGCATAACCTTTGAACATTCCTAAGACAGTAACATTTTCTCTGGAAAAAGATATTAATTAATAACGTTAATAAAAATATTGTGATTGGCCTATGGGGTCTGATTTTTGATAGATAGATAGATAGATAGATAGATAGATAGATAGATAGATAGATAGATAGATAGATAGATATCACTGAATATGTATTAAAAGTTACTTTTTGTTGTTATTGCCATCTTTTGCTACCACACTGATTGGCACTATAGGTAATGAGTTTTATTCCAGCTTTAGCAGGGACAGAATTAGAAGGAGAATCTATTCTTATATAAAAGTGATTTAATTATAAGGAGAAAAAAAGGGGGATATTATTTTCCAGGGAATTCTAAATAGGCTCCTGCAGATAAATATATTACAGTGCATAAGACTTTAAGAGAGATGCCATCAGTTTTGACTCAACTAATGATTACATGGACAAAGATTGGCATATTAGTTAGTCTCTAGTAATAGCATACAGCCTTTCCAGGTACAATCTTGTGATCCAATATATCCATCTTATTGCCTTTCCTTTCTTCTATTCTCAATCTTGCCAACTGGAGTCATTTTTTTAATCCATCATCTGCTCCTATCACATGCCTAAAGTATATGCTGACTGATCATCACCTCAAGAGAATTGTCAGCCTTCATTTAGTCCTGGATTGACTAACTGGTTCTTTTTGTAGCCACAGTATTTTCAGCAACTGTCTCAAAATTCATCAATTGAAGGTATCCATCTTCTATCATTCTTTCTCAGCATGTATTACCAACAGAAAACCACTGCTTTAACAATTCTAATCTTTGAAATAACCTTCATGATCTTGTGAATAAGGCTTCATGATCTTGTGAAAGTTGCTCATTGGTTTTTCCCTGTACAGGTAGTCCTTGACTTACGACCATCCGTTCAGTAACCATTTGAAATTACGACAGCGCTGAATGAAGGGACATACAACCTGTGCCCGAATTTATAGTCGTTGTAAAAACCCTGTGGTCACATGATCAAAATTCAGGCATTTGGCAGCCCACCCAAACTTACGACCGCAGGGGCACTTCAGCTCTTTCCACCTGCTTATCTCTGCCCAACCTAGGCCCTTTTGGCTACCTTTCACCCTGATTTGCATGGTGGCAAGCAGCCCCAAAACTGTGCAGCACTGGGGCTGCTTGCCATGCCCTGGGAAGCCACAGCCACCCTAGCCCAGTCCCAGATGTAGTTGCCCTCGACACCATGCATTCCGAGACCCCTGCCATCGTGCACTCCATTGCCCGAGCTGACCTTTGCCGTCTTGCTCCCACTGTTGATGAGGCGTGTGAACAAAAAAAAGCCAAAAAGCTGCAGCTGTCCCAGTAGGCTTTCCATAGGCTCTGCACTGTCTTTGGAAACCTGCCCTATCTTTATGAAGGTTCTGTGAACACAGCACAGGTTTCTGAAGACAGCGTTCCAAAGGCTCAGGCACCCATGTGGAGGATACATTTACCAGAGAAGCTGGGTCCGAAAAGGAGACAGCAAAAGCAGTGAGAAGCTTTTCCTTTGGCTGTGGCGGGTGGGCAAAAAAGGTGAAAGGTCAGTGCTGGGAACCGGGAGAGAAGGCAGCTGGGCAAACAAATGCTTCCTAGGGTGGTTTGGGGTAGGTGGGCTGGGGCAGCTGCAGCTTCCTGGGGCAGCTTTGCGCAGCTGGGCTGGGGCAGCTGCAGCTTCATGCTGTGCTGTGGCTCAGGAGCTGTTTGCTGCCCTACAAGGCAGGGTGCAGGGTGGCCAAAAGGGCAGAGACAGGGGGAAGATAGGCAGGTGGGGGGAGGCAGTCTCTTAACTTACTGAGGCTTAGGGCTGGGAGGGAAAAAGCCTGGAATGGCTTGGATTGGGGTGGGTCCTCGGCTAATGACTGGTGAAATTTGCTTAACAATGGTAAGGGGAATTGCCGGGATTGGGGTCATTAAACAATGTGGTCACATGACATGTCACTTTACGACCCGCACTGCTTGGCAATGAAAATTCTGGTCCCAGTTGTGGTCATAAGTCGAGGACTACCTGTATCTGTATTTCTCCAGCATACTATCCACCTAGGACCCGCCAAAATGTCTACCACCTTCATTTTTTCTTGCAAACTATAACTTTGCTAAACATGCTGATGGGTTATCTTTGTCATTTTAATGTTTAACACTAATCCAAACTTTTCATTTTTACTTTCCTAATGACATCTACTAAGAGCCAGTTTGGTGTAGTGGTTAAGATACCAGGCTAGAAATTGGGAGACTGTCAGTTCTCGTCCCACCTTCAACATGAAACCAGCTGGGTGATCTTGGGCAAGTCACTCTCTCTCAGCCTTAGGAAGCAAGCGATGGCAAACCACTTCCAAAAATCCTTGCCAAGAAAACTGCCAGGACTTTTCCAGGCAATCACTAGGAGTCAACACTGACTCAAAGGTGTGCACACACACACACGCACACACAGACACAGTGGCCCCTACTAACTCTCCCTTGATTTTCTGAATACAGAGGTACCTCTAGTTACGAACTTAATCCGTTCCGTGACTCTGGTTGCAACTTGAGT